CTTGAGTTAGTAAAAGCTTTGCAGGTTAAAATAACGGCTATCTATTTAGAAATATTTTTCACTTCAATCTTTTCTGCGTTGGAGTGTCATTGATTATCAAGAAATACATGACTGCCTGCTATAATTTGATCTTGCAATCAGGTAGGTACCTAGCAGCCTTCACGGGGCTAGCACTATAACCAGTGTTGGTCAGTCGTACCTGGCGGGCTACCACGGCTGGCAGAAAGCTGATAGGCGGCGCCAAGACATTGCTGAGGTAATCTGCTCCGCACTAAAAATCACGGGCCAGCAAAAAATCAGTCTGCCCGCCATGCACCGACACCAATCAAGCAACTCGATCCTCCACCCACTCAGCCCACCCGAAACTCTGGGGACTCTTGTCGGCCGGTACCTTTTTTTAAAATTTCTTAACCTGCCTTGTTGTTGACGTTGCTGGTTCCGATCCTTGCTATTTGCTATTTACGCCATACCCTACACCCGATTTCGCACCTCAATCCTCGCCTCGCCCCCGTCCCGCTCTGTGCTCTTCTCGTAGCCAACATCGGACGATCTCGGACATTATTGGACGGGGTTATCCCATAGTTGTAGGCTTGGGTCGTGTTGCCGACAATGGCGGATTCGTCGCTCAAGGTTCGTATCTACAACGACCTCTCCACCCCCCGCCTCCCGCTCTCTGCTCGTCAGAGCAGCGTGGGGGGGTCCATGGTGGTGACCGATCAGCGATAAATCAGTGACCAACCGATGTGATCACAGGAGCGCCTCCTCAACTCCCAGAACGCCTTTGATGGCTTGTTATCCCTTATCCCCGCCAAGTTATACTATGGTGAAGATGCGAGTGTATGTTGATCCTCTCACTCCGACTTTTTCTCCTACGGGCTGTTTCTGTGCGAGAACGTCTCGGTGATGGCTGCTACGACGAATCAATCACTTACTCTTCATCCTCCCCTGCAGGACCAGTGGCAACGGAAAAAGCAGACCAAGGCGCAGGCTGCCGAGGCGAGACGGAATAAGCTCGATCCTGACAGCGCATTAAATCGAAGCGCTAAGGAGGTTATGGACGAGCAAGCAAGAAAGAAGCGGAAGCACAATCAGATGCAAGATGGCGACGACGACGACGAATGGTCCGAAGTCGAGGGTGTCGAGCCAGAAAAGCCCCGTCAGGGTATGAAGAAGAAGACCGCCAAGGAAGCCAAAAAGAAACAGAAGCAAGACGCCGAGGAAGCCGAGCTGAACGAGCAGGAGAGGCGGAAAGAAGAGAAGAAAGCCGCGCGCAAAGAGCGCAAGGCAGAAAGACAGCTTCTGCGTGATGAGGAGGCCGAGTTCAGTCGTAGAACTGTCAAGGGTGTCAACAAGATCAAACTCGGTAAACGAGGAGATGGGTCTAACACGCTACCGATCGGTGGCGTACCGCGGCCGGATGCAACGAAGGAACCGGCCGAAGTAACGGGAGAGGACGCCACCGAAACAAACGAGCGCAACAATACAGACAATGCCGACACGCCGGAACTAACCGCAGATGTTCATGAAGCCCACGACGCCCAATCCATGACATCTCCTACCGATACACCACAGTCACCTCTCTTCGATATGAACGGGACACCCGCGGACTCTATAGGACAGGCCCCTAGTATAACAACTTCCGTTTCTTCCGCCGAGCCGACGTCCGAGAAACCTAAACATAAAAAAATACCCACGGACAGTGCTGCGCTGCGTGCTCGTCTAGCTGCCAGAATCCAGGCTCTCAGAGACGCCCGGAAAGCCGATAAGGACGGTCAACCAATTCGTACTCGGGAAGAGCTATTAGAATCTCGCCGCCAGAAGCAAGCAGAGCGGAAGGCCCATAAGAAGGAACTAAGGCGACAGGCTAAGCTAGAAGAAGAGCGGAAGCGCGAGGAAGCGCTAGCCTCGGCGCGCGAGTCTCCCGGAGGCATCCTCAGCCCTAGCATTGACCTCGACGAACAACAGAACTTCGCATTCGGCCGTGTCGGGTTCGGCGATGGCTCCCAATTATCTCACGACCTTACGCACACTCTCAACAGAACCGTAAAGAAGGGCCCATCAGACCCAAAGACGGCGCTCCTAAAGTTGGAGAACCAGAAGAAGCGGTTGGAGGCGATGGATGAGGAGAAGCGAAAGGACGTTGAAGAGAAGGAGGCCTGGCTTACTGCCAGAAGACGGGCCGAGGGAGAAAAGGTCAAAGACGACGAAAAATTGCTCAAAAAGGCCGTCAAGCGCAAGGAAAGCACCAAGAAGAAGAGCACCAAGGAGTGGGCGGCTAGGAAGGAAGGCGTCGCGAAGAGCATGAGGGAGCGACAAAAGAAGAGGGAAGAGAACATTCGGAAGCGACGAGACGAGAAACTGATGGGGAAAGCTGGCAAGAAGAAAGGCGCAAATAAGTCGAAGGGTCGAGCTGGCTTCGAAGGCTCCTTTATGGGAAAGAAACGATGAACACCATCAACGTAATGAACCTGTTTATACTGGAAGGACCACTCGAACTCAATCAAGTATTGAGCGAGACTGGTTCAGTGTACATACGCGACCATCTTGTAAATCATCAGATGGCGAATCCTTTCCGCCGAGATAGCTTTCAACGAATGTGAGCGAATACCTTGCGTGAACCTCAACTTCGTCTCATTGGTGCGCTCTGATGAGATACCAGCGGCTTGGTACCATACCACATCAGCTGCTACCATGCTCTCTTGAGAGGACCTCTATACCCTACGAAACCCTACTATACCTGCTACATGTAGATTAACGTAGGTTGGGTTTTTGACAAAGGGCACATTCGCTACTTACCTTGGCCATCACGTCATTTGAATTACCGACGAAAGATCTTGGCGGGTGTGTGCTACGAAGATGAAGAGGCGTACAGTAAGGCTTCATCTAATACGCATTGACTAACGTGCAATTGCTATCGACACGATGAGCTTTTTTTTTCTCAGCGATTATCTAGAGCTCGAATATTGCCAAATCAACAAACCTGTCCTAAAGCGCCATGTGCTCTTCACAGCAAACTTCTCGTTTCTACTCTTGTGGCTATCGACTTTCTTGTCATGTAGATCATTGCCCACAGAAAAACGATATTCTCGGACCAAATCACACCACTCCTATTTGCCAGACCATACATCAAGTCACCTACCTACTTCGCTGTTGCCAAGAAGCCAACCGCCTGCATCACGCAATACCCGCATGCAAGCGTATAATGGCGGAGAGAGCTTAGAGAAGCAGTGTACATCCGAACCACCTATCTGAACCCGACGAGAACGCACGCCGAGATCCACGGCGAGCAACTCCTCCTTTTCACCAACACTACCTGCCCTGCTGGGAAGTCGAGGACACAACTGCCGTCCTATCAAATTGTCGGACGACCACTTGGACCGATGATGCTATTTGGCACAATTTTACCAGGCCTCCGGACCGGAAGGGCTTGGGCACCATTATTTGCAATTGATCTTCGCATATGGGGGAGGTATAAGAAACACTCAAAGGACCTCGATGGTGGGTTTGGATTGTTTCCCCTGTGTACTTCGTTTTACGCAGCACATTCGTCACCTACACAACTATCCTCTGCCGGGGTTTAGGGTCGGGGAGACTATAATACTCGATTTCTAATCACGCTACGCGGTGCGTGCTCACATATACACACATATATAAATCCATTCCCGAGACAGCCCAACCAGGCCCCTCACAGCCCACCATGCGCTTCCTAACCCCAGCGCTCCCCGCCCTCCTCCTCCTCACCACGCAGTCCACGATGGCAAGCCCCGCCGCGGTCCCCGTCGTCGGCCCGGTGAAGGGGTCGCTGGTCGTCGTAGGCGGCGGCACGCTCAGCGACTCCATCTACCAGGAAGTCATCACGCGGGCGAAGGGCGGGCCGATCGTGGTGATCCCGACGGCGGACGGCGGGCCGAGCTACGACCAGAATGCCGCGGGCGCGTCGTCGTTCCGGCGCCTCGGCGCCTCGAGCGTCACGGTGCTGCACACGTACGACCCCAAGGTGGCGAACACGGACGCCTTCGTGGCGCCGCTGCGCAACGCGTCGGCCGTGTGGTTCGGCGGCGGGCGGCAGTGGCGCCTCGTGGACGCGTACGCGGGCACCAAGACGGAGGCGGCGTTCAAGGCGGTGCTGGACCGCGGCGGCGTGATCGGCGGCAGCTCGGCGGGCGCGAGCATCCAGGGCAGCTTCCTGGCGCGCGGGGACACGGCGACGAACCAGGTCCTCGTGGGCGACCACACGGTGGGGTTCGGGTACCTGCGCAACGTGGCCATCGACCAGCACGTGCTCGTGCGCGGGCGCATCTTCGACATGTTCGACATCCTCAAGGTGCGGCCGGAGCTGCTGGGCTTCGGGTGCGACGAGAACACGGCGCTCGTCGTCGACGGCGACGCCGCGCGCGTCCTCGGCGCGAGCTACTGCGCCATCTACGACGGCACCTTCTGGAGCCGCGAGGGCAGCGAGGGGAAGCACCCGCCGCCGAAGAACCAGGTCTTCTACCTCCTGCGGAACGGCGACCGGTATAACCTTGCGACGCGCAAGGTGGTGGAGTAGAGGAGGGCTCGGACGGGCTTGTCGCGGAGTCCGGGGGAGAAGGATGGGGTCTCGGTGCTGGTGCTCACTCTCCTGGGCTCTTGTGCATAGTTGAAATCAGATCCATTTGCTAGATAGAAAATGTGAAGATATTTTCAGCATCATTGCAACATATTGTAATTTGACTTCCGCCTATGCATGGAATGTATATATGTGTGTGCATCCGCTCGAGGAAGATACTAGGTATTCTACGACCGTGTGTACGATGCAATGAGTCTGACGGCCTATGCCCATGTATAAGCTATTCGGGTTGCATGTTAAAACACGGTGTAAATCTATTTTTAAGGAGGAATAACTAATACTTGACTTCAAGGTTGAGTTGGTTGTAGGTTGTTGGTGGTGCTTGTTCTCAGCCCTCGCAGCGACAGCATGGCGATGATATGGTGGTTCAGCGGTGGAGTGAGCATAACTTGGGCGAATGGTCTAGAGGTATGATATTCGCTTTGCATTCTGGCTTGCTTAGAAAAAATGCCTGCGAAGGGTCCGGGGTTCAATTCCCCGTTCGTCCATTGTTTTTACTTTTTTAAAGCATATCCTCCGATCCTTTTAGTCTTGTTCCAAGAAGAACTCTACGCTAAAACATTTCTTTTAGCTGGGAATTATATATAAGGCTGTTGTTGTTTGGGCTTTTTTTGTCTTGTAGGATTAGTTGTGTATTTTCCTATGTTTATCACTCTAACTAATGATTATAATGAATTGTAAGTAAATCAAGCAAGCGGCTCTTGTTGTAAAACAAAGAATTCAAATGCTACTGTTCATAGCATTGGAATCAAGCGCTTTCATAATTCGGCAATAGTTTATGATTCAACAAACAAAGTGATAGTTTGAAGAGGCTTATTTCTATATTGTTCAGGTAATTATAAGCTAATAAGCGTGCTGAGCTACAGCTATCAAGAGCCATATCTCAACTTAAGTGCACACAAATTCATCATCATGGGACGCCAGTGCAGCTACACGCCGGGTTGTAAGGAAGTCGTGCCATGGAATCGGCTAATGTGCGAGAAGCACTTGGCGATGAAACGTGAATATAACCGCCGCAACAACGCGAGACGAAACGCCTTAAGTGAATGTCCCTACTGCGGTGGTGCCAAAGATCGTGCGACTACAAGATGTAGCAGCTGCACAACAGCCAACCTACTGCGATGCCGGGAACTTCAAAAAGCGGAAAAGGTCCTCCTCTCGCTCCATCCCGATAATCAGAATAGGATACAGCGCACGAAAGCCCAGCTGGAACGCGATAGGGAAAGACGCAGGGCCGTCAAACAAGTCCGGAAAGATGCTGGGCTCTGTGTGAATTGCGGTGTCCATCCGCCGGCAAGCCAGCGGCTGCGCTGTCTCCCCTGCTTGGAGAAGAAAAGAGAGAAGAGTAGAGTATATCATGCGAGACGCAGGAGAAGGTTGACGGAAGCCGCTAGCATGATGCTTGAGTTAGAACCCGATATCCTGAACACAACAGAAACGGATGGGCAAAGACTGGAGAATGGAAAGAGGAGCTCGAGGGCAGATTCGCCGAGCTTCGAGAACTCTCCAGGGCCGGATGATTTGAACCTTTCCCTTACGGAGAGCCTGGCGGAAGAGAAATCACCGACTCAACGGTCTGACTCTCCGCCAGGGGAAGTACCGCGGCCTGATTGGCGCCAGTATGCCTGGGAATAGCCTCTCTCACGTTTGAATATCATGATTATAGATTGAAGCAGTCGCTTGTGCCTCGGCCACATGAGATTGTATTAGACCTGTAGCATGACGGCCAGCTGGTAACTGGTCTCTTTGTTTTTTTTTCATAGAATACGCTCGCTTTGAGTTTGTAGCACTGTAGCAAACACATATCTCTTTTCCCGATAATTTTTTTTAAAGTTCTTTATACTGTAACAAAAGGTTTCTATAAATACGGTGAAAGTGTTGGCAAAGAATATTTGGTAGCTGTAGTTGGGCTTTTACATTGCGGTTTTGTTAAGCGTGCGCTTGTAGGATTAGCCGCTTAGCTAGCTACGTGATTCTAGGTTACGTAGAGGGCAGATGAGCCTCGCGCTGCTTTGATGAACATAGAGAAGATTTAGACACATGAAATGATAATTCAAAATCCTCTAGTTTAATCCAATGACATGTTCTCTAGTGCTAAGATGATTTTGTTTGTTAATATATGACAGTTTACAAATCTTATCTTAATCTAGGTGTTCGATATAATAGCTCATATAAGTATATTAGCTCCTCCTTGCGTGCTCGATAAATTTCAGTCGCCAGGCAATTAGAAATTTCATTCATTAAAGGCCGCTCACAAACCATTGATTAAAAAATCGCCCCTTCGTAAATACGCAGGGCTGACTGCTTTATCAAACTCTCCTTGCATCTTATATACAAGCACCCAAGCTTTGTATACAATAGTATTAACGTACACTCTAATCTAATTAATTGCCTGCTGCTTCAGTATAATATCAAAAATAAATCAATAATGGCATCTGTAAGCTTGCAACTACAATGATATTGATTTCATAAGTCTAGATCGTCAGCATGGTAAGAAGAGGGGGAATATACCTTTGGGTGAAGCGATACATAGACGTGCTGTAATTATTACCAGGCATCCCGAGTACCTAGTACGAGCAAAGTACTAGCTATAATTGCCTACTTCTCTAGGCGGATCGTATACTACGAACTATACTTGAGAATTTTTAATCAATATTTGATTACAAAACAAGTCATGTGAGTCATCAGAATGAAGTCGTGTTGTGATCAGGTGAATGTGAATGGGGTATCTATTTGCTTGGACGGGGTGAATAACTGCTACAGGTACTTCTATATATACCCGCTGTGGATATTAGTGCGTGGTCGATGGATGGATGGATGGATGGATGGATGTTATTAACGTCGCCCTTGGGTAGCCACTGAAGCTACTAGTAGTTACTCTACCTTACATGACCCCTCTGGGTTTATATTCAGGACGACGGGCCTATGCCCTGGTACACCCGGTACGTACAGAAAAGGACCCCGTATATAGTACCTAAAGGTACTATATACGAGCTGCAACCTCCCTGGTACCTAGTACCTTGCGTACTCCTGGTATACTCCCGAGCTTTAAACCAGCCTGCCGTAAACAAAAGAGACCCCCGTACCTGTCCGTACCTTCTGTACGAATACAGTAACGAGACTTCACCCGTTAATTCGGAAGGTACATTGACCCAACCCTAATTCTAGCGCACCAAAGGGTACGCCAACAGGAAAAGCTCAACCCAGCCAAAAACCTATTGGAATTGGGAGCCTGTTTCTCGACCTTAACCAAAAGGGAGAAGGCTATTAAGTCGCTTGTTAACGACAGTAAAAATACTGCCGGACCCTTCTTCCTTTTTTCTACTACAGTTTTGCTACAAAGCCGACCACTGCTTCAAAAGTGAAGCTGGTGATACTTTGGAATATATCCCGTTTCGGCAGATTGTGGGGCCGTTCCAAGAAGTAGAAAATAAAAAGGAAGGAGGGTGATTAGTGCGTGGTCGGTCAGTGGGTCTGTACCTGAATCCCCATCAGGGCTCTCCCCCTTCGGCACTGTCACTAGCACCGGTACCTTATAGTACGGTGGTGTCGCAAGGCCGTGTGGCTGCACCAAAGCGATTGGCTCTCAGCGCTCGCGACGCAGGTACAGGGAGACCCGCCAGCCAATTATAGGTTACCGCGCGTCTGGCCGGTGCAGCGAGCCGAAACATAAACCACCCCGCTGGACAGGCCCTAAGGGGGGGGGGGGCGCCTAGGGGGATCAGACAGCGCTTAGCAACATGGGCTGCTCTGTATCGCGTCTTCAACTCCATCGTCGTCTCTGGCGGTCCACCAACCTCGAACTCGTGCGAAGCTGGTCGGGACAACCTGGACCAATGGCCCCTGGATTGGCCAATGCCTGGCGACGCGAGCAGTTCGGCCGAGCTACGAGGTCCTCTCGATAGGCCTTAATCTCAGCATTACGGTACTGCGCCCGTATCGCCTGTACAGCGCTGCACATGGATAGGTGGCCATGATAGCCGAGGGAGACAGCCCGATGCCACACGAGAGAGCGCCCTGCGCAATCAGTCAGCTTCCGCGCTGCCTGCTCGTGTTAGCTCACGCTCATACAAGATGCTAGCTCCCTCCGCGTCCTGTCGATCTGCAGAGATCCTCGCTCTTGTAGCAGTCGTCTATTGATTCTCGCGCGTCTTTGCAGCTCTTTCTCCTCGTGGCTCATCTCCTTTGTTAACTCTCGGTCTGTGACTACTGTGCATTCATTGTCCGCCGCCTTCCAGAACATTGCTGCTATTGTCACTGTTTGATTCAGTATCCGTATTCTTTCTACGCCTCGTGGCCTCTTTATCACCGCGTCGAGGAATATGAATTGCTGTTACGCCATCCATCGCGAGCCCTGAACCTCCAAAAACCTATACCATCATTATCCTTCCTTTCGCTTCCTCACTTTCCTTCTCTCTTCTTCATTCTGATTTAAAAAAACCGAAAAGAAAAAAAAAGATTCTCATCCCTCATAATGCGAATATCACTCCTCTTCTTAGATTTCCTTTGGTTGTCGGGAGCCTCGGCGGCCGGTCCGCTGAGACGGGTTGATCGGTATGTCCCCCTCTAACTTTCATTGCTTCATCTAGTCATAATAAGCAAGAACCCGTCGATTAACATCATATAGGATAAGACATGATGGAGCGGTGAGACAGCCATGGATGCTCAAGAGATTCACCAACTCGACGACGACAATCTCGTCGTTACCGGTCACGTCGTCCACATCCATCACATTAGGGGACTCATCCACACCGACCTTCTCAAGTCACCCTTTAACTGACTCTTCCACGCCCACCTTTGATTCGACATCATCCACCCTTCACACCCCCTCCACAACAATAGCATCTTCCGCTAGTTCTTCTTTAGAACCAACAGACTCAGACTCTAGCTCCTCTCAAGGGCCGACCTCTTCTGCGTTGTCTTCGTCGTCCGCTCTCACGGAAAGTAGCAGTGCCAGCCCAGTCAACACAGTAACCATTCCAACGCTTAGCATCTTCCCGTCATCAACGATAACTGTCAAGCCGGGTGCTACACCTACTTCAGGTGCGGACAGCTCACGAGCAGCCGCGACAACACCGGACTCGTCCACGAGTCCGCCGACGGGATCCGTGACACCTTCTACTTCTTCCTTGACTTCAATTGCGACGAGTAGCGCGTCATTTCCCTTACCCGCCGTAAGTGGCAGTCATAGTCCACTGACTCCCTCTCCATTTTTGCCACCTCCCAGCCCAGCTGGATCCGGAGCAAGTAGTGTTGGCTCAGTAACAAGCCGGCCTAGCAGTTCGGGTGCCGCGAGTTCACTGCCAATTAATTCCAGCACGCCCGTACAAACTACGTCGTCGGTGGCTGGCTCAACCGGAAGTAGCACACCAATAACCACCCCGTCTACATCAACCGAGGGTTCTTCCGACGCGAGTAGCTCCGCTTCGCCAACCGGGGCGCCGAACTCTGCTATACCCACTATCATCACTTCTTCCCCTCCATCAAG